CGTAAACCCGGAACCTTTATGGTATAAGAGTTTGTGTCTACTTCCGGCAAGGCAAGAATAAGAACGGACTACTTCCGGTAATGGGCGGGAAATAGGTGAGTCTTTTCCTGTACGGTAGCTGAGGAACACTGTGCTTTCGGTAAATGTCTGGCGTGCGACCGAGGCAGAAGCTTTCCCAACACCTGGTTCTGGTCCCGCGGTTTCCGCTGCCAGGTGCAACCAGATACCTATACTTAGTGCTGTGGCCTCTCCTCTGCCTCCCCAGGTCTTTAAAGTCAGTCCTCCGGACCCCTCCAGCTCCTCTACCCTTTCCTCTCGTTTGTTTGTTCCTCTTAGGAGCCCCGCAATCCTCGGAGGCACGGGGCTAACTGTGAAGGCAGAAGCCACTTATCTCTACCCTGGATCGACCTACCAAGGGTCTAGTAGCATCCAGGCTCTCACTGATGGAGGATTAACCACATAGACTGGGGAAGGCAGATACTGTGCTGATGAGCCTCAGGCTAGCTATGCAGCCTTCGGGAGAACTCCATTTGAACCTTCCTGTGATGGTGATTGACTGATGGACCATCGCAGGCCGAAGGTTCGAGAGGACAAACAGAACTGTTAGGACACCATGGCTGACCGGGCCAGCTCATTTCACTGACCTCTAGCCCCTGATCCCTGTGCGGCCATGGAGAAAATGTCCCGAGTTAGCACAGCCCTGAGCGGCAGCGCCCTGACGGGCTGTACCATGCACTGCCACCTGGACGCACCAGCTAACGCCATCAGTGTGTGCCGTGATGCAGCTCAGGTTGTTGTGGCAGGCCGGAGCATCTTCAAGATTTATGCCATTGAGGAGGAGCAGTTTGTAGAGAAGCTTAATCTGCGCGTGGGCCGGAAGCCCTCGCTCAACCTGAGCTGTGCTGATGTGGTCTGGCACCAGATGGATGAGAATCTGCTGGCCACCGCAGCCACCAATGGTGTGGTGGTTACGTGGAACCTGGGTCGGCCATCCCGAAACAAGCAGGATCAGCTGTTCACAGAGCACAAGCGCACTGTGAACAAAGTCTGTTTCCACCCCACTGAGGCCCATGTGCTGCTCAGTGGCTCTCAGGATGGCTTCATGAAGTGCTTCGACCTCCGCCGGAAGGACTCTGTCAGCACCTTCTCTGGTGAGGCCCACAGAGACAGGCTGGGGCAGATGCGTGTTTCTGTGGGAGTTCAGTCTTACAAGCAGGTCGAAATGTGCTTCCTCAGAGAGCCTTCGTTGCCCTCTCGGAGGCTGAATAGCACTGGGAGGAAGAGTGGATGGAGAGGGAGTAGGTTGGCCCCAGTGAGGATGAGCCCAAGCCCTGGTGGTGGGGGGGAAGGCAGGAGGTCAGATTGGGTGCAGCTGATGAGGAAGGTGGAGCCTGCAGACACAGCCTAACGGTAGCTGGGTCTCCCTTCCCCTCTCCTTGCTTCACTGCAGCGAATCTACTGGTGTCATCAGGCCTCTCGGCCCAGGGATGCAGAGTGAGGTGGGAAGAACGCAGGGCTCCTTTCACGGCAGGCCTGGCTGGCTTTATTCAGCCTTGAGCTTCCTCTCCCTGGCTCTTATGAAACCAAATGAAGCAGAAGCAGAGCCTTGGCAGATTCTGGTGCTTTCCTCAGCCCTCTATGCTCCCTAGTTTGGCCACAGGCTGATGAACGACACCATTCCAGCACCTTCAGGGGCTCCCCCATCCCCCGAGAACCAGCCTCTCCCTGATGCCTATCCCGATGTGTGCCCACAGGCCAGTCTGAGAGTGTGCGGGATGTGCAGTTCAGTATCCGCGACTACTTTACCTTCGCCTCCACCTTCGAGAATGGCAACGTCCAGCTCTGGGACATCCGGCGACCTGACCGCTGCGAAAGGATGTTCACAGCCCACAACGGGCCTGTCTTCTGCTGTGACTGGCACCCAGAGGACAGGTGTGGTTTGGGGGCTGGGGGGACATTAAGACTGGAGGCTACAGGACAGTGGGGTGTGGCTGGGTCTCCCTTCCTGCAGGAGAGGTCACTGCGAGCTTGAATGGGACCTTCTCCACAGGGGCTGGCTGGCCACAGGTGGACGAGACAAGATGGTGAAGGTCTGGGACATGACAACACATCGTGCCAAGGAGATGCACTGTGTGCAGACCATCGCCTCTGTGGCCCGAGTTAAATGGCGGCCTGAGTGCCGCCACCACCTGGCCACGTGCTCCATGATGGTGGACCACAATATTTACGTGTGGGATGTACGCCGGCCCTTCGTGCCCGCTGCTATGTTTGAAGAGCACCGTGATGTCACAACAGGCATTGCCTGGCGCCACCCACATGACCCCTCTTTCCTACTCTCTGGCTCCAAGGACAGCACATTGTGCCAGCATCTGTTTCGTGATGCCAGCCAGCCTGTTGAGCGTGCCAACCCTGAGGGCCTCTGTTATGGCCTCTTTGGGGACCTGGCCTTTGCTGCTAAGGAGAGCCTGGTGGCTGCTGAATCTGGGCGCAAACCCTATGCTGGTGACCGGCGCCACCCCATCTTCTTCAAGCGCAAGTTAGATCCTGCTGAACCTTTTTCTGGCCTGGCTTCCAGTGCACTCAGTGTCTTTGAGACAGAGTCTGGTGGTGGCAGCATGAGCTGGTTCGTGGATACAGCTGAGCGCTATGCTCTGGCTGGTCGGCCACTGGCTGAGCTCTGTGATCACAACGCAAAAGTGGCTCGGGAGCTTGGCCGCAACCAGGTATGTGGGCTGGGGGTCCAGGGGTCACGATTTGGGCCAGAGACTGCTGCTGGGGTAGGGCACCATACCCACAACCGCCTTGAGCTTAGCACATTGCTCTGGTCGGTCACAATGCCAGCCTTTGCCAAAGTATTTGACAATGTTAAAGATCATGTGAGCCAGAGTAGCCCAGACCCTGGGGTCAGCCTCAGGGCTGGAGGCCTAGGGAGTTAAGTGCCCACAGCACCCTCTTCTGCCTCACTTTTGGTGCTGGAGCTGCCTTCTGCATGCCATCTCTCTTCTCGCCTTGCTAATCCTAGCACCTGGTGCCTCACAGTTTTGTCACCAGAGGGTGGAGACAGTGCTCTCTCCATGTGCCACAGTTTCCCCACGGACTGGTATATGATTCTGCCCAGGAGATGGGGGCTAGCCTGGGTGCTGGGTGCCCAGGACCCATGAATGGTTGGTGCCTACCCCTAGGTGGCACAGACATGGACCATGCTACGGATTATCTACTGTAGCCCCGGCCTGGTGTCCTCTACCAATCTCAACCACAGCGTCGGCAAAGGCAGCTCCTGTGGCCTACCACTCATGAACAGGTAGATCCTTGGCCACTTCCTGCCCCTCCCCCTGCGGATTGTTGGGGCCTGGCCACCCACAAGCCTTCCCTACCTCTAGCTTCAATCTGAAGGATATGGGCCCAGGGCTGGCCAGTGAGACACGGCTAGATCGCAGCAGCAAAGGGGACACACGGAGCGACACAGCTCTGCTCGACTCTTCAGCTACTCTCATCACCAATGAGGGTAGGCAGGGATGCTGACGGGAAGAGGGCTGGGGAGCCACTCCCTGAATGACCCCCTTTCCCTGCTGAGCAGATAATGAGGAGACTGAGGGGAGTGATGTGCCTGCTGACTACCTGCTGGGCGATGTAGAGGGAGAGGAGGACGAGCTGTACCCACTGGACACGGAGCATGTGCACTGTGAGTGGGGGCTAGGCGCGATACAGTTGCTGTAGAGGGCTCGGACCTGGAGCATGGCTCTGAGCAGGAGCTGAGGGGAGTGGGAAGCCTCGACTCAGGTCCATTATTCCTCACTCCTGCCCCTCAGCGGAGGAGCCTGAATATGTGCTGCCGCAGGAGGCCTTCCCACTGCGCCACGAGATAGTGGACACACCATCTGGGCCTGAACATCTGCAGGACAAAGCTGACTCTCCACATGTCAGCGGCAATGAGGCAGACACAGCCTCCTTGGCACCAGTAGACTCTTCCTCCTCCCTCCTTTCCGTCTCACATGCCCTGTATGACAGCCGCCTGCCACCTGACTTCTTCAGTGTGTTGGTGCGGGACATGTTGCACTTCTATGCCGAGCAGGGCGATGTGCAGATGGCTGTGTCTGTTCTCATTGTGCTGGGTGAGAGAGTGCGTAAGGACATCGACGAGCAGACCCAGGTGTGTGATGGGTCTAGCCACTTATCCCCTCATCTGAGCCTGCTTCTCTGCTGTACCCCTGCCCCAGTTTGCCTGGAAACACTAACCTGAACCGTTTCCTTCCCTCAGGAGCACTGGTACACATCCTACATTGACCTGCTGCAGCGCTTCTGCCTCTGGAATGTTTCCAACGAGGTGGTGAAGCTGAGCACCAGCCGGGCAGTTAGCTGCCTCAACCAAGCCTCCACCACTCTGCACGTCAACTGTAGTCACTGCAAGCGGCCCATGAGCAGCCGTGGCTGGGTCTGCGACAGGTGCAATGACAGGCAGAATTTGGGTGGGGGGTTGCGAGGGAGGAGACCCAGAACCCCCCAACTGAATGGCCCTCCCATTCCCAGGTGCCACCGCTGTGCCAGCATGTGTGCTGTCTGCCATCATGTGGTTAAAGGTCTGTTCGTGTGGTGTCAGGGCTGTAGTCACGGCGGGCATCTTCAGCACATCATGAAATGGCTAGAAGGCAGCTCCCAGTGCCCTGCAGGCTGCGGCCATCTCTGCGAATACTCCTGACCTGGTCTTCCCTGAGACTGAGACAGCTTCCTCAGCTCAACCCTGAAGTCCACCTGTCTAGGCCCACGGCCTCTTACCCATCCCGTGTACCAGGAATGAAAGGTGGCTGCAACACAATAGTGGTGGTGTTTTTAACACAATAAAAACAGGAGCTGCTTAGCCACTTGTCACTTTGATTGCGCCGCAGGCGGGAACTTCCTTACAGGAGGGAACTTCCGATAGGGGCGCTGTAGCCATGGTTACCCGCAATAGCCAATGGCTGCTAAACACCCTGCCTTGAGGAAATGATTGAGGGTGGGAGAGAGGAGAGGTTGGTGTGTGTGTGTATGTATGTATGTATGTATGTATGTATGTATGTATGTATGTGTTTGCGTGTGTATGAAAGAGAAGGCTCCCAGGGTCAGGCTGGCTGCTGCTTGCCGATAGCTACAGCAGTCGGGGCGGTAGGCCGATGGTTTGTGGTTACGCAAGTGTCGACGGAATTCCCAGTGTGCTGCGCGCCTGCGCCCCGTATGTTCATGGCGGCGACTATCCAGCTAGAGCCGCTTTTGCTCTTTGTACTATGGACGACGGTGACTGTGGTTCTGCCTGGCTCTGGCGAAGGGGGATGGTGAGCGGCTGGGAATGAGCGGCGGGAGGGAGCCTGAACTCAGAGCCCTGGCAAGTTGAGCTAACCTGTTGTCCACACAGGCAGCAGAGCGGGCTGGGGATTGCAGTAGCAGTGCCGGAGGAGCGTTGCACCGTGGAGCGCCAAGCACACCTCACATACTCCGAATTCATGCAGCAGTATGTGTCCCTGCCCCTAGTGTCTAGGCATACCCCAAGCATGGCCTTTTGGCTGCGGAGGTCATACCTTCACTGCCTGATGGAGTGAAGGTATGAACACGAGGTTCTTTTTCTCCCAGCTATGCCTTCGTCAAGCCGGTCATATTACAGGGACTCACGGACAACTCGGTGAGTATTTGTACCCATGTGGGCAGCTAGTCGAGATTGACCAGTTGCTCAGTTGTTTTATCTTTCAACCCCAGCGGTTCAGGGCCCTGTGCTCTCGGGAAAACCTGTTGGCCTCGTTTGGGGACAACGTTGTTCGCCTGAGTACAGCCAACACCTACTCCTACCGGAAAGGTGAGCTTATCATACCCTTCAAGGCCTGCCTGTTTGCCAGAACCCCAAAGGCAGGACTGACCGGTCTCGACTGGCCCCTTTCTCCTAGTGGACCTGCCCTTTCAGGAGTATGTGGAGCAGCTGCTGCATCCCCAGGATCCCACATCCCTAGGCAATGGTGAGCCAGACCTAAGCAGCATTGGGAACGGGACACTTAGGAGTCCACTGCTGCCGGTCGGTATTCCTGCTTCTCATCTTCTCTGCTGGCAGACACCCTGTACTTTTTTGGAGACAACAACTTTACTGAGTGGGCACCACTATTCCAGCACTATTCTCCGCCTCCGTTTCGCCTACTGGGAACCACCCCTGCTTACAGCTTTGGGATCGCAGGTGGGTGCTTCTTCAAAACAAACTTGGGGAAGCCCATATATATATTGTGTTTATCAGCTATCCACAAACAACCTCACAGGAGCTGGATCTGGGGTACCCTTCCACTGGCATGGACCTGGTTTCTCAGAGGTGATTTATGGCCGGAAGGTCAGTACAAGGGAACGAGGGTAGGAGCTGAAGTTTGGGGTCTGTAGTCCATAACACACAAGTGATCTTATATTCCATTCCTTCCTCCAGCGCTGGTTCCTCTACCCTCCTGAGAAGACACCAGAGTTCCACCCAAACAAGACCACACTGGCCTGGCTTCAGGAAATATACCCATCCTTAGCCCCATCAGCTCGGCCCCTGGAATGTACCATTCAAGCTGGTGAAGTCAGTGGCTGGTTGGTGGGGGACTGGGCCAACCCAAAAAGCCCCAACCAATCTGTGCTCTTTTCTCCCAGGTGCTGTACTTCCCTGACCGCTGGTGGCATGCCACACTCAATCTGGACACCAGTGTCTTTATTTCTACCTTCCTTGGCTAGCCAAACAGGCAACTGGCAAGCCCACTGCACCAGCACATGCCAATGTAGTGCTCACAGACTTTATTACAGGACAGTGGCAGCAGCAGCAACCTAAGCCCACCCTCACCCGCTTTCCAGCCCAGAAGGGGGACAGGGAAGGCTCATGGCCCAGCAAGGGAAAGGGAGCAGTTCAGAACCCATCAGCAGAACTGATGGGGGCAAGCCCAGGGACACAAGCTATATACAGGAACTGGAGCTTCTGTCTCCAGACCCTCCTGGGCTAGGGTGCCAGGCAGGACATGGCTTTAATAGTCCTCTACCCAGCCGTTTTCAGAGATGAATGCATCAATGACTTCCTTCATGGCCAAGTTGGGGATGAGTTGTTCCTGGGTCAGAGGGCTCCGGGTCACAGGGTCAAAGTGGCCGACACGCTGCAACAACAGAGTCAAGGTGGTCAACTGTCTGAGTTTATGTCTGATCCTAGTCCCAAGGCCAAGGCCCCTTACCTGCAGGTGCTCCTCAATGTCCTTGCGGTCGTAAGTGATACCACTGGGTGTGATGCAGGGCTCCCGCATCAGCTCAAAGCTGATCTTGCCACACAAGTAGTCAGGGATATCTCGCTTCTATAGCACAATGGGGAAAGTGTCTAGAACTGGAAGGGTCATCACACCAGCACCTACCCCCGGGCTTTGAGAATACTCACCTTTCTCTTCTCGTCCACCTGAGAGAAGAGCTCATCCATGTCTGCCATGTATTTATCCTGTAGAGTTGAGTGCCATGTGTGGGCAACTCCTATCTCCTCCATACAGACACACACACCTTATGTCCACCAGGGCACTCGTGTCATGCATGGGCCAACAGATCCATCATAGGCTGGGGCACTTTTCATGCCACACACAAAATCACACACACAACGACCCACATGTGGACTAGGGGCACCCTCACGTGCTTGGCCTCAATGCAGGCCTGCTGGGCCCGGACGTGGCCATCATCCTCATCACCCTCATGGTTCCGCTGACACTCTTCCAGTTCCCTGAGGGTTAACCAGAAGCTAGTCGGTGATGGTCCTGACCAGAAAAGGCCAGAGCCCTCCCCGTTTCAGGCCCCTTTCCTCCTGGGCTTCCCATATGCTAGTGTTGTCTTTCAATAAACACTTGTGCTGGTGACTCAGTGTCAACCCCATGAAGTAGCTCGGTGGGGGGGAGACCCACCTCTCTCGCTCAGCAGCAATGAGCCTGCTGAGATAAGAGTGCAGCTCACTCTCCTGGTGAATGCGCCGTTCCTCGATACTGTTCCAGCGCTTCTTCTTCGCAATGCGAAGGGCACTGGGGATGTCATCCCCAAAGTTGAGTCGCTGCTCCTTGGCCAAACTATAGGCTGGGGGAGCGGACACTTTAAGTTACACTCATCAGCAACCCCGGCCCCAAGGTACCCACAACCTGGCATCGTATCACCCCACCTCGCTGCAGATTGGCAATGGCCTCATCGTAACTCTCCATCTCTAGCTGGCACTGCCCCAGGAAGAAATGCGCCTTCACAGACTGCCCATCCAGCTCCAGGGCTCTCCGGCAGTCAGCGAGTGCCTGTTCAGGCTGCTGCATCTTCAGATAGCAAAGGGCCCGGTTGGTGTAGTACACTGCCACAAGTGGGTTCCGGGTCTGGGGACCAAAGCCAGGCATCATAAAGAGTGTGGGCTCATCTGGACCCCTCTATCCCAGGGTGCTGACTGCCACCAATGGTACGGTACTGGTAATGCTCCAGCTTTAAATTCCATGACTGGGATGGAGAAACTGAAGGTTTCCAGAGCTCTGGACTCTGGCTGTGATCTCTTAACTCCAACAGAACTGCTTTTGTGAAAATTACCCAGAATCTCTCAGTTTTGGGGCAAGGGTTCCTGGTGTCATCCTAAACTTGCCTCAATCAACCATTCCTGGGCTCGAGAACAGTAATCCGGGAGCTAGGGGAACAAGCTAGCCATCGAGTCCCGGCTGCCAGAAAATCGTCCCGGAATCGCAGAACTGGGAGGCACATCGGGCCCCGCCCCCGCCCCCGCCCCCCGCACTCACGATGGCGCGGCCGTAGCAGGCCGCCGCCTCCTGGTACTTGCGGCCCACGAAGAGCCGGTTCCCCTGCTCCTTGAGCTCCTGCGCACTCGGACTCTTATCAGGGCTGCCACCGCCAGTGCCCAGCCGCGCGCCGCCCTCCTTTTCCTCCTTGCCCTTCATGGCGCCGCGCGGCACGGCTTGGGCTCCGCGCCCAGCCACCTAGCTCTCGCAGCCCGCGCAGCGATCAGCTCCGCCCGGTCGGCGATCCGCCACCGGAACTTCCGGCGTGGGGCGGGGCTGACATGAGGACACGTGAGCAGAGGCGGAGCCTCGCGGCTGCTGAGCCAATTCACGAAGCGCGGTGTGCGTGGCCGCGCTCTCTACGGGCCCCGCCCCACAGTAACCAGAACCTATCCTCACTATTCGGACCAAGGCTCCGCCCCCTCGGCGTTCAAGCCCCGCCCTCCGGCCCACTCCACGGGAACGTGGCAGCGGCTCTTGAGAGGTGGCACTCCGAGGACCGGTCACTGGATCGCTGTCCTAGCTCGCCATGCGGGCGCACGCGGGAGTTTGGGAGCGTCTGGACCGCTGGTAGGACCGCGGAATACAGGGAAGGAGAGGGAGGGAGGGAGGCCGGCTGGTCAGACCGTCCTCGCGGGTCTTCCCTGGGAATCGGGAGGAGCTGCCTGCGGCCATTAATGGCTGAGAAGCAAGCACGTGACACCTTGACACGAAAGGACCTGCAGTGGCTGCTATAGAGGAAGCTGCGGGTTCGCGGCTGGACTGCTCTCCCTTTCTTGCGGTCATGGGGAGGAGCTTCTTCAAGGGCGGGGGCCAGCAGGTTTCCTGGGAGAGCACCTCGGACCCTTTGACCTCCAGGTCTGTAGAAGAGCCATTCCGAGCCGCCGCAGCTGCAGCAGCTGCTGACTCCCCCACCCCACCCCACTCCCGGAATTGAAGAACCAGAACTCTGCTTTCTGCTGATTTGTGCGCCGCAGTCACACTCCTCTGCGTGGTCCCTTGTCATTGCCTCGGAGTGAGTAGGGAGCATCTTTGCCCAAGTTGGGCGGGGACTCTAGGAGGTTTAGCTCCAAGAAGCTATCTCCAAAATCTCCTTGTCACTCTTTGCAGTGGTCCTGGTGGCAGGAGCTTCTGAGGTGGCGGCTTTCACATACAAAGTGGCAGTGACTACAGTGCCTAGCTTGCTAGCCCTGCAGTACACAGTCAAGACTGCTTGCGTGTTTCTGGCATGCTTGCTGTTTCTGGCCCAGATGCAGGAGGGCACTGCATTCCTGAGCCAAGGTGAGCCAGCTGCTAGGGCCTGGAAGGTCATACAGGACCCCATCAGAATTAAGGTGGCCAGTAACTCTGTACTCCAGGACCCTTGTGGTCCTCACTAGTGAGTGCCTTTGGGCTGTAGACTCTTCCTTTTATGAAGACAGCATTACCCCCTAGGGCTATGGGGCAGAAGATATACCCTGACCAGCATGCTGCCTGAACTTAACCCCAACTGGGCCTCCCACAAGGGTTGTAAGCCTGCCAAGAATTACAGGACCCAGCCAAGTGAGCCTGGCTCTGCTGTGGGCTTGTCTTTGGAAGGAAGGCTGAATAAACTGTCGACTGGAAGCCCTTGGAGCACAATAAATGATTGCTGACCTTGGCCTGACCTGGAAGGTGACAGTCTCTTACCACAGGCCCTGCCTCCTATGTGGAATCTGGCCAGTGCTGGTCGGGAGGAGTAAAAGCCACCACCTCATGCCAGGTGCAGAGCTTCAAGGGGACAGGGAGCACAGACCATCCTGGAGAGGAGGTGTCCCATGTGGTCTGGGTGAGGGGCAGACAAGCCTGCAGAGCCCCAGGACAGCTGCCTAGTGATGTGTAAAATATTTATTCACTCTCCAAAAAGGCTCAGACTGCAAGTCCTGGGGATCGGGAGGGAGGGAATCTCCTCTGGGGCCACATCCAAGGACCTCCACCCAGCCCTGGCCTAGTAGCACCCTCCCCCAGAAAGGCCTGGGAGGGGCAGCAATGGCTGCAGTAAGACTTGGCCTCAACCTGGTGGACCACAGGGCCCGCCTGCCCCGTAGGGAAAAGCAGCCCCGAGAGGTCCGTTCATAGAGGGCAGACATGCAGGCCCACCTGGTGGCGGACCCACGGCAGGCCCAGCTCTAGCCATGTGGCCCTAAGGAGCAGGTCAAGGTGGAGGGGGGATATCGGCACCCAGCAGGTCATAGGCAAAGACGTTCCAGAAGATGGCGAAAAGCAGGAAGGTGCCATAGGCAAGTAGCACCACCCACCAGCCGCACTGGTCCCTCAGGCGCTCCTCATAGCTCCGAAGGATGGTAAGGCCCATGCTTACACCTACCACTGCACCAGCCAGGTGTGCCATAAAGCTGGGCTGTGGGCCTGAGGCAGGCAGTGGTGGGGAGAAGCGCAGCCACACAGCCCGGCCCACTTCGGAACTCACTGCAGAGGGAGCAACAGGTGGGAGGGGCCCTGTCTGGAGGTAGAGGGCCTCCCAGCGCCCCACCTGCCCCGCTACTCACTGCACACCAGAGCCAGCACCATCCTCAGCAGCTTGTATGGACACCGCATCCCAGCCCAGTTCTGATGGGGGCAGGCAGAACAGGCTGTGAAGCATGTTGGGTGGGCCCCTTCCCGCCTCCCCAGAAGGGCGGCCCCATTACCATGACAACATTGGCCAGGTGTGCTGAGCACAGCGCATAGACCCCTCCAGAGCCCCCTACCACAGGGGCACGCATGTCTGTGATAGAGACAGTCAGGGAGCCTGTGGGCAAAGGGAGAGAGAGGTGAAGGCACAGCTGGCCCTCGGTTCACCAGGTGAGGTAGGCAGGGGACCCTCTCGCCAGCGTGCCCGTCTCACCTGCCAGCACACCTGCCAGGTAGAGCAGGCTGATGCGAAGTACACCGTGTACCATCTCCAGGGGCACCCCGATCATCAGCTGCAGGAGGGCATTGAAGCCTAGCTGCTCCAGCCTGGCCACAAAGGAACATTGGGGAGGGGTGATCAGGTGTGTGCCCTGCCTACCCTCAGACTACCTCTGGTCATTGCAGCCCCCCTAGGAGAGGTAAGGGAACAGGACTACTGGAAGCCCGAGGCTCACTTACCCAACATGCATGAACATGTAGGTGAGGAAGCGCCAGGCGCGAGCTCGGTGTCCCGGGTGATACACCAGAGGGCTCTTCATGTATTCAGGGTGGTAGGTCTGGAGCACCCACTTGTTGAGACGTGCCCCGTAGCACAGGAACACGATGATCTGGGGACACTAGTGTTAGGGCTGGTCAAGACTAGGGACTCAGGAGGCCACGGGGCAGCATGTGGGCAGGCCCACCTGGGCAAGGGTGACAGAGGCCATGAACACAGGGGGTGGGCAGCTGCGGTGCCGGTAGAAGTACCAGCGGCGATCCACCTCACAGGGCAGGATCTCGTAGGCCACATATCGCACAAACCGCTTGTAGACACCCAGGCCTGGCTCATCTAGCAGACCGTCCCGAGGCAGCGCCCGTTGTCCATTAGCAATGGCCCTCTTGAAGCTGCTGGAACGCTTGCTGCTGATCTGAAGGGAAGGGGTCTTAGTGCGGGTGGCAGTACTGTCCTTGTGGAACCCTGCCCTAATTGGCTAGGTCGCTGTTAATCTGAGGCCCTATTCCACACTGCCCAGGTCCATAAGCCCTACCCAGTAAGCTGTCTGCCCACCCAGCTTTGACCAGAGTGCTGTGCTTGGCCAGGTCTGGGGCCCTCCCCTGCTGCCCACACACTATGGCACTGACCAGGTCCACCAGCTCCTGGTAGCAGACCTGGCCCCGTTCGTTGCTCTGAGCCAGAGCCACCAACATGTCCAACTTGGTGGGGTCCAGGGGCAGCTCATGGCTGTGTACCAGACCAGCGAAGGTTTCCGCACCGATGAAGCCCGTATTCTCAGGATCCAGCTGCTGTGGTGGGGGAGTAGAGGGTGGGCCAACCCCCAGCCACAGGGCTGAGCCAGGCTGGCTAGGAAGGCTGGACTTTTGTGCTAGTCAGTGCCTGTTTGCTAGAACCAGCTTGTTTCCAGGCCCTGGCAGGGCAAGGTGCCTGGTGTGGCTGCTCCACCACCTCATATTCACCCTATCAGTCCTAGAAGGGGGAGGGCTTTAGGGGGAGGATCTAGAACCAAGGACCACCACCCTCCCTACCCAGCTTTCCGCAGAAACTCAGTGAAACCTTTCCTGGGATAGTGAGTCTCAGAGGCCAAGGTCGTGCAGGGAGGGGAGGCTTCAGAGGTGGCTGTCTGGTAGGGCCTCCTGCGAGCATGGTCCCTCCCCCGAGCCCCTCACCGGCTGGAAGGACGCCAAGGCAGTGCCAGCTCCCACCCACCACGCACCTGCTCCTGGATGAGCTGCAGCAGCGAGCTCCTGTCCATAGAGCCGGGCCGAGGGCTGGGGTCGGCCGAGGCCGGGAGGGGCTGCTCTGCGGACCGCTCCGCTCCGCCCCGGCCGGCCCGCTCCGCCTGCTCTGCTCTGCGTGCACCAAGCTCAGCGTCACCGAGATGCCAGCAGTCCTGCGCGCACACGGGTAGAGCACGCGCGTACCCTGCACGCGCACGCGCTGACCGACTCAACGCACATCCTGGGTAGAGCCGTCCCCCACCAAACAGCTCGACCCAGAACCACCGCCTGCGCACTGGTCTTGCCCTTCATGCTGAAGCTTTTCCCAGGAGGCGGTAGCTAGGAAGCTGCGGCACCCATATCCCTCTTACGCAGCCTTTCTGGTTTCTGTACTTGTACTCGGTATGCTTAGCACCTTCTCTAGGAAGCTTACCCGACCAAAAAATAGGCCTGTGACCCACCTCCAGAAAGCCAAGGTCCATTTACACCCCACTGCACTCAGACCTTCTCCAGAGCTGGGAGTTCTTGCAGTAGACACACCCTCGTCCTTATTTATTTGCAGTATTGCAGCAAGGAAGCCCCAGGTCTGGCAAAGCAAGCAGACACCAGGTGGTAGGGTATCCCTAGGCTGCCTCTCAGACCTAGGCTGACCCTTCCGCAGTACTCATGGCTAAAGTTGTTTGTTCTAACCAACCAAATACCCCTGCACTGGATTTGAAACAGCAGGGCCCCCAGTGCAGAAGCACCATTCAAGACACGGGGGATAGCCAGGCAGACCCATAGACTTCTGAAGTAAGGTAGGACCACAGCTTGGATAAGCAGGGGATTTGTTCCCGAGGACAGTGAAGGTGGCAGATTAATGCGATGTATAGAGAATACAGCTGCCTACAAAAAGCATCCTGTCCTAGTGGGACAGGCCACTTAGGCTGGAACACTGGCAGAGGGGAGGAGCCTCCCCACCAGGCAGACATTCTGGGGCAGGGAGTACCTACCTGCCCCAAGTCAAATGACACACTGGTTACCCAGATGTGTGAATTCCTGAATTGGTGTCCTTGGTGCTAGGCTATGTTGCAGGATCAACTCTGAGCCCCAGTCTATCCTCCCCTCAGCTCCTGGACTCCTCTGTCAGGCTATACAGAAAGCCTAGGCTGGCTGACTGGGCTGGTTTGGAGGTGGGGTACTAAGGAACCCCCAGCACAGAAGCACAGGGAAGAAGGGTCTCACACACACCCACCCCAGTGGTAGATGCTGATGTTACTGGACAACAGACTACAACTGGATCTTCCACAGCCATTTATCACAGCGACTAATCAGACCTCAGAATAGGGACCCAGGAACAGAGGGAGACAGGACGGTCAGGTGACATTTCCAATATACACACAGACAAGTCACATTTAGACTGGCTGAAGAAAAGCGATCTTTATGGGGCTGGAGAGATGGCTTGGTGGTTGGGACCACTTGCTGCTCCTGCAGAGGACCTAGATTTGTTCCCAACATCCAAATGGTGGTTACAGTCATCAGTTAACTCCAGTTCTGGGGGATTGGACACACTTGTCTGGTCTCCGTGGGCACCAGGCACACAAATAGTGTGTTTACATACATGCAGGCAAAACAAACATAGAAATAAACTGTTTTTTTTTCTTTTTCCCGAAACATGGTTTCTTTGTGTAGCCTTGGTTGTCCTGGAACTCACTCTGTAGACCGGGCTGGCCTCAAACTCAAAGAGATCCACCTACCTCGGCCTCCCAAGTGCTGGGATTAAAGGCGTGTACCACCACAGCCCAGCCTCATTTTTTAAAGGAAGAAAGAAAGAAAGAAAGAAAGGAAAAAGCTGCCTTGAGATACCAGTACCCAAGAGCTGGAAAAGACAGGTGAGGTTTAATCAGGGAACCCAATTCCACTTGCTCTGCAGCTGGTAGAGTGTAAAGCTCCACACCGTACAGAAAGGTGGGAACTCGGTGAATATCAGGTCCCTCCCAATTTGACCACCACCTCTTGTCCCCCACATGCCTATTGGCCATGCAGAACCAGGAAGCACCCTGAGAGCCCCTAGTCTTGGTCCCTGGCTTCCTTACCCACAGCCCAGCCCCTACCACACAATATTCCCTCCAAGGTCATGGCCTCACATCTCCAACCTGCACCCCCAGGCTCAGCAGGACAGGGCAAAACACAGCCCTGTTGGGGGCAAGAGATTTCGGAAGTCAAAGTTTAGACACAAAGTCCCTGAGCAGGTACCCCACAT